CACAAGACCCACTGTGCCTCAAACAACAAAAACAAGCCCCAAACCAGTAAACATCCTGGCGTTTACGGCCTGCTTCCCAGCACGTGGGCGCTGCTCCGTGTGGTTCGTGAAGCGTCCCGTTTACCCTCACAATAACCCTGTAAGGTGTGTATTCTTGTGACCCCATTTACAGGCGAGGAAGCTGAGGCACAGAGGCCTGCGGGACAACGAGAGTCTGGGAAATGAGCAGAAATGTGCTTACAGGTGGGGAGCAGTGGTGATTCATGCTGAACTTCCGGCCCAGGGGGTCCCACCCCTTTGGAGAGGTCTGGAGGGCACCCTGTGCCCTTCCCACTTCTCCACCACATGCACACGCAGGCCGGTGCGCGGAGGCCTCACGGCCGTTCCTCTTGTGAGTCTCCTGCCCCCCTTGTCAGTTGGTGGCCGAGCCGGGTGCCTTCTGGCTCAGCGGACGAATGTGACAAACGGGGACGGAACCCGCTTTCAGGGGTCTCCTCCCTGAAAGCTGGGCCTCGGTACAGGAGGCAGGACTGGGAAGGGGAGGCTCCTGGAGGCCAGGGAAGCCCCCCCGAGCCTCGACATGGAGCCATGGCCAGGAGCAGAAACCCCGCCTCCAAGGACCGCGCGCGCGCGGAGGTGGCCACCACAGTGGGGGGAAATTAGGCCCCTTCCCCATATTCCGGTGCCCTGCGAGCCAGCGTGCGCGGCCCTGGGGAGAGGGAGGAGGCCGGAGGAACGGGCACTTGGCGTGAGATTTATTTCGTCCAGTGGCCCGGCTCGAGACCAGAAGGGGCAAGGTGAGGTCCCCCCTCAAACAGACTAACCAGAAAAGTTCATTTTGGAGTCAACCCGGAGAGTTGAATATAGATTGGCTTTTAGGTGTGATTAAAGAATTACTGTTAATTTGTTAGGTGGGATATACGGGTGCCTGGGTGGCTGGGTCAGTTTAGCGGCCAACTCTTCATCTCAGCTCAGGTCTTGATCTCAGGGTCGTGAGTTCAAGCCCCACATTGGACTCCATGCGGGACGTGGAGCCTACTTTAAAATAAAATAAAATAAGAAAATTAAAATTAAATTAAATGATAAAATTAAGT